ATATAATATATATATATATATTTATATATATAAATATATATACTAATATATATATATATATATATATACATATATGAATATTTATATATAACATATATATATATATATATATATATATTATATATATATATAAATATATATATATATATATATATATATATATATATATATATATATATATAAATATATATATATTTATATATATATTTATATATATATATATATATATATATATATATATATATATATATATATATATATATATATATATATATATATATTATATAGAAAGAAGAGATCATATATATATATATATATATATATATATATATAAAATTTTATTTTTTAATCCGACATTTTTTTATTTCAGGCGTTATTTTCATTTAAACATTTTGCAATTACACTATTTGAGTAGAAGATACGTTTTATTTTACAGAGTATTTATTTCGTCTACTGGCCAGCATGCTTGGGAAAACTTAAAAAACAAATTTTGATTCGAAACTGCTTCCTCCTTTGCAGGAGAAACAACCTTTTAATCCGGGGTGTTTTAACCGCTCTGCTATGACGAGCTTCACAACCAAATAAGGTTTTACTTACCTTCAAAGAACACTCACTCTTTCAGTTGTTTTTCGAAATGACATATTTGCTCAGTTGCGTATTCCAAAACGTTAACAAAGCAAGTTTTTTTTTTTTTTAGAAATTGCTTTGTTTATCTTAAAGTGCGCTGGATCAGTCGATGGTTTCTCATGCAAAGGGGGGACGTAGGTTGGAATCCTCCAAAAGGGCATGTTTTTCTTTAATAATTTTTCGCGAATGTTCTGGCTGATAGGCGAAATAAATACTGTTTGAAATAAAACGGTGCATCTACTCAAATACAGACGTTTGAAGCAATATAAAAGAGAGAGCAGTAGAAAGGAAAAATGGATCAGGAGGTCATAGGAAGAGGTATCATCATTTCAACTTAAAGCTATAAACATCAATTAGAAAAGATCCAACTCAATCCATAAAACGTTTGGCACGTGAAAGAGTTGTTTCACCTATGACAGTCCAAAGAGCAGTGAAAAATAAGTTGAAAATGAAATCGTACATAAAACCTGTGAGGACATAATGTTGGGTTAGATATGAAAAAAGATCATCCTGAATAAGTTAGAAAATGAATTCAAATAAATAATATATATATATATATATATATATATATATATATATATATATATGTGAACTTAATTTCAATCCTTCATGAGCTTCCCAGGATCCTTAGCTATGTTCAGTTGATGAGTAACATGTCATTTTCGTTTATGATCAATTTCATCAGAATTCTTCTTTTAAACTTGGAGAGTAATTATACATTATTATTGCTGGAAGTAAAGTCCAATAATGTTATAAAAACCTTGGAGAATTCCAGTAATATACCTTTAATCTTTTCTAAGATACAACGTTTCGAATCTTAATCTAACAAATGGACTATTTAGGCAATCTTGCTTTTACACGGTATAAGAAAAATGTATTTAGATGAGAAATATTGGCACAATTGCTTGATATTTTGGCATGTATCATCGGTATAAGAGATAAGCTAATGAGTTTGCACTTCAGTTGGAACCTAACAGTGATAGCCTTGTGTCAGAGTATGCTATGCTTTGTAAATATCTCCAATCTGTGCTCACAGTTGTAACTGGAATCTTGCAGTCAACGTAACGCAAAAAAATATATTCTTTATTGACTGTTTTTCTTTGATCTTTACGTTTTCCAATAAAAAGAAAATGAAGATTTTTTTCTGAAAAAGCTAATTTGCGTTCGCCATTTCTTGGATATTCTAATCCCTTTCATTATTTTTATTTTTTTTTATTTTATTTTTTTTTTTTTTTTGTTGAAATTTTTCAGTTTGTATTTTGAACAGGTCAAGAAGTTCTCATCGATCATTAAAAAAAATCTTTTTTAAGGGGAGCTCACTCCGTACATCTTGGCAGACTGCAGGGAGCCAGGCTGCATAGGAATAAAGCCAAAGGTCTCAAATGATTGATACATGTATTGATTTAAAAATAAAAAAAGGAGTAAAGAAAAACAAATCGATTACAATTAGCCAGTTTTCTCAATGTTGTATGCGGCCATTAGAAGGAAAAATTATGTAAATTTATTAATGGCGATCATGCCTTGAGTTTTCCAGAACATAGATCGTCCATTTTTTTTTCACTTACTATATTTAATTTCATTTAACATCTTTATTGAAAACTCAGAAGTGGAGGTCTGTTAAAGTAGTGCAGATTACTTTTCTTGCCTTTTTAATACCAGTATTCAATCATTGCAACGCCCAAGAGCCACTCAAGGTAGAGGGTTAATGTGTTTTTGTTTTTGTTTTTTTTTATGATCGCAGAAAATGGCAAGAAGTGCAGTTCAAGATGCTATGCAGTTAAGATAAAGGTTAATCCTAGACTTGAAAAGGTCAAAATCGTACTCTTTGAGAAAAACATCCTGTTTTTGTGAGTCTGTTCCACAAAGCAGTTCTTGCTGATTTCTTCCTATTGGAATGCGAAAGGAAAAAATAACGGTTAACCCTACACTTGAAGAAGTCAAGAATCTAGTGATTCCGAAATCATCCTGCCGAGAGTCTTTTCCACAAAGCAGCAGTTCTTGGTAATGTGACACTATTTAGGTCGCTAGAAAGAAAGAAGAAAAAAAGAAAGGCGAGAATTAAATTTAGGTGATAAGAAGCCATCACGAAAAGGACACTAAGCGATGTTATTCTTTTTAACAAAGAAAAGTGGTAAATTTTATTTCCATTGTCGAGAAAGTAAGATACTGGATTTAATTTGATTTATGTTATGAGGGCGGCGAATAAGATATATCCAATCTGCCCATGGCAATAATAAAAATTTCAGGTTGGTAAAGTCGACCTCCGAAACAGAATTCTAAAGAGATAAAATTAAATAGGTCATGCGCTGACCGAAAAACAAAAATGTCCGCTGGACAACCATGAAGGAAAGATTAAGCCATTTTGTCTATACGCAGAATATCGTTTGGAAAAGGAGCATCTGTTTATTGTCAGGGCTGGCTATGATAGCAAAAATTATTTTATCGGAACAATTAATTAGCGCCAGAATGCAAATACGTCCAGTTGACCACCCACTTGTTTGGCGAAGGCCCCGGGTGATAAAGTCCAGGTGACATTTGGCTAAGAATAAGAGTAAAGGGTATGTTGTCAGGCAAAATGAAAGAAGAAGAAGAAAAAAGAAAAAAAAAAAAGGAAGATTTTTTTTTTTTTTGAGCAAGATTTTTTAAACCGAGGCTAGTCTGGCCACACCCGCGCCGCTGAGCGCCCATTGGCTGAATGGTGGCGTGAGCGTTAGGCGAAGGTAATCATGTGAAGAAGGAGGGAGGCCTGTTGGCACCCATTGAAGGGATAGGTGTGAGATGCCACTGTGAGAGAGAGGGGAAACCCGTTGACACCCTCTGAGGGTATGGTGAGATACCAATATGAAAACAGAAGACGGTGGGAAGACGAAAGAATTCCAAAAATGGAAAATAATAAATTTTCCTGACCGAAAACAAAAAAGTGGATTGTGGATTTAGAATTATCAAGGAACCTCAAACCCCGACAAGCCCACCCCGGTTTTGGTCGGCGTCCATATAAGCAGAGTCGCAGTGAGTGAAAAGCAGTTCCAGTTCCAGTTGAGTTGACAGTTCGAGTTAAGTTGCAGTGAGCTGAGAGCTCTGAAGACCCGCCTCGCATATAGCTGACTTGAAAGATTCGCGCATTATCGAACTCAACTTCTAACCAAGAACAATTTATTTTTGAAGAACGACTTAGACCCACACCACCAAAACAAGTCTTAGAATGTCGCCTGAAGATACACCAAGAACCAGTTTCTTAAAGAACAAACAACTTAAGATGTTAAGACTCACCTAACAAACACAAAGTGTCACGAATCCATATAGCGGGTTGGGAAGAAGACGCATTCCTGTATTCAGCAACCAGATATAAAATATTGTTATCCTTTTTTAACACATTTGAACTTTTCGAGTTATTACTTTATTTTCTTTTACATATACTTGTGCGATATCACCCTTGTTCAAACTCGACTTGCATTACGGCCCGGCGACTGATTGATTGCGTCTACCTAAGAACAAATCACAACGTGGGTAGGTTAGACTAGAAATCAAAGCAGTTACTTCGGTAACCAGACGTTGGAGGCGAGCTGGGAACGACAAGACTGATACCGAATCTAACCAGATTCCCATCCGAATCAGCAAAAGGTTAGAACGTCACATTTGGTACCGCGACCAATACCAAGTCACATTGGTCGTCACGCGGCCAGGCAGACGTCACATTTGGCGCAGCGACACCGGGGGACGTCACAGTAAGAAGCTGTCCGAATGGAACTGATTTCTTATTATTGGAATACGAAAGGAAAAGAAAGAGCGTGGAAGCACCTCGTAATTGCTTGTGTTCCCAGGTCTACCCTGACCCGGATTGATAGCACTTGATAGGGTGCAAGCTATGGGCAAGTAGTTGAACCCCAAACGCGAGTCAAAACACTATGAAAATGTAAAAATAGGTTTTAATACCAGCTAAAAATGTTTGTAAAAGGTTATTACCAGCAATGAATTTTTGAAGAAAAAAATTATTACCAGCAATACATTTTTGGAAAATAAATATTACCAGCAATACATTTTTAGAAAAAAAATATTACCAGCAATACATTTTTGGAAAAAAAATATTACCAGCAATACATTTTTGGGAAAAAATATTACCAGTAATAAAAATCTTGTTGGCATTAAATAACCCATAGAGGTTGATATGCCGTAAAACAAACGAAACCAAACCTTAAAAATACAAGTCTTTCTAATTAACCCATGGCTAGGGGAAGAAAAGGTGAATTCATTTGCTTTCTCAAGGGTATTTGCGTGTAAATGAATATAACGAATTCAACTGGAATTGGAACTTGACTTTACGATTGACAATTCTGAGGCATTATCCATTACACCACCCGCACATCCAAGCTTAGAACACCTGATATTTCCAAGTGGTCGCCCATCTAGGTAGTGATCAAGCGCGACGTTGCTTAAGAGATCGTATGTGAACCGGTGTTTCAACGTGATATGGCCGTTAGCCTAATTTTGCTGGAGATAGAGTCAAAATCACAGCTGTCTACAACCCGTAGATGTATTGCATGTTTCCATCATGATTCGAGAATATACGAATAGTCCATAAAAATACAGTCTTCTGTAAATGTCAGATCTTGATATTCACCAAAATCATCTCCAGCAACTACTACTACTACTACTACTATAATATCTGGTCATAATAAATGGCGACGCTTCCTGTTGTGTCTTTGCCTCTCTTCACCGACAAAACCCTACTCGCCCAAATACAGTTTTCTGAAGTCTCAAACTGATGGTGATCCTGATTTATGGCCATGTCATCTTATCGCCCCAGTCCCTTCCCCCATTAACAAGTGGAATGGCACAATCCCAAACCGTAATTAAAAATCGTCGCTCACAGTGGAACAGTGATAGTATTATGCTATCGGGATATACGCTATTAGGCGATTATATATATCTAAATATATATAACTGTTTGAAGCAGATTTCCATTTCTTTCTGCAGTAGACCAGTATATATCTAACGCTATAGATATCTGAGCTTATTTCTTGAAAAAGAAGATTCATACATTTCCCAATAGTATTAGTACGTAAGTGAATGTAATGGATTCGACTGGATTTCGAACTCGGCTCTCTGATTCTGCTATCCATTACTCCACTGAGATGAAATCTAGTAGTACGCGTAAATCCATGAAATCGAGTTAGGACTCCAGCTTCGAGTTAGATATGCACGCTGACTTGGAAACTATGCACATTTTCTGTTAATTCACTCTCAAAATATTAATTCACCCCAAAATAAAAAGAATTTATATTTACTAAAATTCACACCAAAATTCACTAATGTCCTTTAAAATTTGATTATAAAAATGAAGTCATTGTTATTTTTTTTTTTTTGCTTTACGTCTCCAAAGGAACTCATACAAATAAGACCCTGTCATGCTGCGATGAGTCATGAACATGGACTTTTTGGCGTTCCGTCACGTACTTTGATTGTTTGCGTGTGAGCTGATGTTTATGGATCAACAAAATTCATACTGGTATCTACAGCCAGTTAAATATAATTGGGATCATTCTTCAAAGATATATGTCCTTTCCAACAATCTGACATAATCGTAGTCCCAGGTTCGGATTGTGTCCAATAATGTGTAAGCTGTTCTATTTGGCACACAGTACAAAATTTAATAAAAACACAAATTTTGTTTTAAATTAAAAATTCCTTGGGGTGAATTAATATTTGCGATAACTTTACATTATTTAGAGGGAATTTACAGAAAATATCTGCCTCCATTTTAGTAATGAATTCTTGATCTCCGTTTCGGCTTGCTTCGGCAATTAGTTGGAGATTCCTCTCCAGCTGAACTGGCAGAACTCTCTGAGCCTCATCTCGGGTGGTAGACAGCTACCCGACCCGTTTTCTATGGGGTCTAAGGGGAATTTTTGCCCGAGCCCACGGGCTCGGTTTTAACCCAGCATTAAAAACGGCCTTGTGCCACATCCTGCCTCGGGGGAGGTGAGGTAAATAACCTTTATCTCTGTTTCATTGAATCTAAATTCATTGTTCCAAGACTTTTGCTTCATTGCATCTCCCTCTTGAAACTTTCTAACAATTACCGCAATTTTTGACGGTACGTGTATGCTATTGATTGATACATTTTCTACGTCTTATCAACTGTTTTCAGGTTATTTAAAGTCAAAAAATGTTCTTTTTTTAGATTGTAAGAATTTTATTTTCGGTGTAAATGATAATTATTTAGTGAATACAAGGCCTACTAATTAATCCATAGCGGGGAGGAGAAGAAATAGATTAATGCATTTTCTGATGGTATTTGCGTGTAAGTGAAAATAAGGAACACTTTTTATTTTGCAATTGAAACTCGGTTCTCCGACTTCCGAGCCATCATCCATTACACCACCCATAAAAACAGAAAGCAGCTGGTATTTTAAAGTATAAAAGGCACTGTCCAGTGATCAGGAACGACGTTTTTAATATTTTATAAAAAACCGGTGCTCCAATGTGATGTGATGAGTACATTAGTAGTAATAATAATCATAACAATAGTAATAGTACGGTGGAGTAATGGATAGCGGCTCGGATTGAGGTATCGGAGAGCCGAGTTCGAATTCCAATTCCGTTACATACACTTACGTGCTAATAAAAAGAAAAAAGGTATGAATCCTGCAATTTAAGCTATGGATAAATAGCAGGATATTACCTTGAGTGGCAAATTATCAGCTAATTTCAGAAATAAAATGGAAAATTTACTGTTTTAAAAAAACTGCCTCGTCAGTCATGTATCGAAAGACACATGATCGCCTACGCGTGTAATGGCAACATAACTGACTGAATAGTAGGAGTGATTTTTGTTATTGAAGTAGTAGTTATTGTAATAAGAGTAGCCATTGTACTATTAGTAGTTGTTGTTGTTCCTTCTTCCTTGTATTAGATATCGTTGTTAATTACCTAACTATATTATTAACAAGTCTCTTGCTATTTTTCCATTCTTTTTAAGTTAGTGGAAACTAAAATGCCTCCAGTCAGATGGCCAAACTATGTGATTGGTCGGCGTTTACTTAGAATAGCCTTGATTTCGAGCCAACCAGACACTCCTGATGACGGATCATTTCAGCTTGGCGCCAGTAAGACTGATTTGATTGGCTAGAACCGCTTCCGAAGTTAACGACTATTTTCTTTCAAGTGACTTATTCATTTCAACGTTCATTCTCAGTAAATTCCGTTGCCGCACCAACCCCTATCTGCTTGCGGGTACATCTACATGAGTACAACATCGTTATAAGAGTGAAAAGGTTAACGTGGGCGGTTCCTATGACCCATTGGAACATCGATGTCCCATGCCATGTTCAATACATCTCTCAACGTCATAAGAGTTACTTAGCAGTACTCATCTCCTCTCCTAGTTTTTGTTTGATTATATTTAGCGGCATATCAACATCTATGAGTTTTTTAATCTCTAAATATATTGAACGCAACTGTATGTCTTAAACTGCAGATAAAATTTATGGCTTTAAAAACGAAACACTATGAAAGTATATAAATACATTTTTATAGTAAAAATACCAGCAATATATTTTTATATAAAAGTTACGAACCATACATATTTATAGTAAAATTATTAACTCTGACAGTAAAATTACCAAGAATACAATGTTAAAGCAAAATTACCAGCAATACATTTTATAGAAGAATGACTAAAAATATAATTCATAGCAAAATGACCAACAATACATTTTATCTGTTATTGAAGGCATACAATTGCGTTCAAAATATATTTAGTTGAAGCTATAAAACTGTGTTCAAAATATTTAAATTTCGGCATTAAATGACCTATAGAGTTGTTGATATGCCACAAAATAAAATCAACCAAACCAATGTTTTCGTTACATTTATCATTATAACAATATGGAACATGTTGAATAAAATCATTTATTTTATCCAGAGTAAATTACGGTTCAATTTGCTGTACAAAATAAAACAGTTTCTCGACTTTTGACAGTTTTGTGTGAAAACAGTTGATAAAAAATATGAAAGAGTAGTTTTTCAATTCTTGCCAATAGATTATCATTTGCAGATTTATCCCACCTTTCAACATTGTCCAAAATATTTTTAAATGAACTTGTGGGGAAAATGAAATAAAATCAACAAGTAAAAAACAATAATAATAAAGAAATTCATTTTCCCATTCTGCTAAAAGTAAAGAAACCGGAAATATTCTTACCTCACTTTGCCAAACGCTGTTGGGTGGCGCTGTTGAAGTCGATAAAAAGGTAAACATTACCTCCCCCGCTCTCTTTCTGCTCCAGGATGTGTTAATTACGTTCCCACAGGGAAAAGTAAGTTTCCCGGTTGTACTGATGATTGAACTCTCTTCCCACTTCCCAACGCATGGCGCTCGCATGTGTTCTCCATAACTACAACCTATGAAGTAATTAAAGCTTTCTCTTTGGTTGTTCCAATTCAGCGCAAGGCTGACTTGAGTAGTTTGACTATTATAACATTGCTTATACTGATTTACCTTAATTGCTGGACGAAGAAAAAAATGGGTATTACATAACCATGTTTTAAATTTCCAATGATAAAGTAAGTACAAACTTTCCTTTGGTTGTTCCAGCTCTGCGCAGTGTTGACTTGAGCTCGACCATGAATACGATGCTTATACTTACTTCCCCTAACTTCAGGGCCAAAAAGAAAACTGACATTCCGAAGAGACATTGATGATTTTGTTTTCCTACAACCTCCATAAGAAAGAGGATAAATGGTCACGTGGTAGAAAATCAAGTTTGGTATGTTTCTTCATTAATCCTTCACCCACCTAAAATACGCACAAACACGCAAATTTTTTAAATACATAAATTTTTAAAGTTTTCATGCAACCTTTTTAAAGCTGACATATTCGTGGATCTTGCAGTGCACAGTGATGAAATACGGATGTTAAAATCTCTAAAGACATTTTTTAGTTTGTAATTGATGATCAAACTTTACAAAAGGTCCATGGAGTTTCTCAACAATTCTACTCCAAACTAAGTTTATTTTCAAGCCCGGCATGTTGGCTCTAATATAGAACCACGTGTTAATTACGTTCCCATCGGGAAATGTGAGTTTCCCCGGTCCACTGACGACTGAAGTCTCTTCCCACTTTCCAACGCATGGCGCTTACACGAGTTTTCGAAAAGCTCAACCTGTGAAGTATATCAAGCTTTCTCCTTGGTTGCTCCAGCTAAGCACAAAGCTGATTTGAGTGCAATCACTGTAACGTTGCTTATACTGCGTTAACCTAATTGTTGGACGAAAAAAAGAAAGCGAGTATCAAATAACCATGTTTAAACCAATGATAAAGTAAGAAGAAACTTCACTTTGGTTGTTCCAACTCTGCGCAATGTTGACTTAAGCTCGACCATGAATATGATGCTTATACTTACGTTTTCCTACAACCTCCATAAGAAAGAGAATAAATGATCCGTGGTAGAAAATTAAATTTTGTATGTTTCTCC